TCACTCTAGATTAACCCACTCAATTGTAATCTCAAGTTCAAAACTTAATGGTCAAGTTTCCAAGTAGACGAAGCTCTCATTCTCATACATAAACTTCAAGTCAAAATAACACTCTTTGTCAAACCAAAGCTGTGGTATTCCTTTGATTTCAACCTTCCTCAAATCATTGCTTTGCATGTCGTAACACAAAATGTAAAATGGAGAACGCATTTCCGACGGTGCCAAAATAACTTTACCGTCTTGAGTTGTACCTTTTACGACCAATTTAGTGTCACCGACTAAATGCCTTTGACAAGGCTGCAAAACCATCTTCTTCTTCTTCGACCATTTATTTCTACCAACGCCTTTGTAAACCCATAAATCCACGAAACCCTTGTCTTTAAGGTGGCTATGATCGAAAATAGCTATTTTACCACCATACTCTACAAGACCCCCATTCATCAAAATTGCATCCCCGACCGTCATAGGTACACGGAACATAGTCAACTCTTCAGACCTAACGTCGAAACTCACAACCGCACAACAAAACCTATCAAGCAAAGCCAGATAATGTACTACTGATCCATTTGTAGACCACCCTATTGAGAGAGGGTTATGAGGAAGACAATATATCAAAGGAACAACCTTTCTCCACGAACCTCCAGCTTCTAGTACGAACACCCAATGCTCTGGCTTAGCAGAAGCGTCGTAGGATATCGTAATAGTGCAGAATAGTTTGTACTGATCACAAACAGGGTCGTGTCCCATATAGTACCGGGTATTCTTTTCTTGACCTTGTTCAACTATGATGTCGGATTTTATGGCGGGTAAGGTCAAGAGTTGTTTTGTGCTAGGGTTATAGATACACGCCTTTTCTCTTACTGAGAAACACATCAACCCACGAAAACGTTCAAGGAGAAGCCTCCCATCCCTGAGATGCTCAAATCTTGGTCGACCACAAAACAAGTGTTGTCTATAGACGCTGATGATATTGATAGAAGTACACGTTTTCTGAACTCTCTATCCACCAAACACATGTAGAGACGTGGTTGTTGTCGTGTGACCGTAAATAAACTGTTGCAAAAATGTCGACAAAAGATGAGGGATAACCACTGCTTTGAGACGCACTTGAACCTCATTAGGGAATTTGTGGGCAATCTTATAAGAATTTCGATCAAGAGATCCAGAGGAAACTCGCACATAGCTTTTCCCT